GATCCAGGAATGTTGATGGTTCTGTTGTGGGGTGTAGTAATTGTGAGAGTGCTAGAGATACATTGGCAGGTTGTACATTTCTTGTCATGGCATGTTCTGAACCATTTGGTGTATTTTGAGCTATAGGAAGTTTGCTTCTGGTGATGAGGTTAGTGAGGTTCAATTATAGTTTAAAGGCTAGGATGGGTGGTTTTGGGAAGATTTATTTAAGAAGTAGGTCTTCTTCTAGTACGGGTTGCAATTGTTTGAGGATTTTCCGTATAGGTTCCAGGGAGGGGTGAGATATGTCATAACCAGTGGTGTGCAATTCATGGGGGTTTTCCCTCTGTACTGCAGCATTTCTTCACATAGTATGTAGGTGGCTCATTCAAAGTGTGAACTATCTCTCTGAAGGACGGTCCTTGTTGAGTCAAAGCCTTTTTGAGATTTGTGAGATGACAATCCCAGGTGTACTCAGTGCAAATTTGGTGATATTGGAGGGCTTGGCTGTATATTATAGCTTTCTGAGCCCTCTAATACCACTGCATTTGCACAGAGAACACTGTTACCCCCCAAAACTGTTAGCACTGGTTATTTTGACCCTTTTGTGGCTCATCACACAACAACCCCATGCTACCTCCTGCTCACCACTTCAAGCAACCACACAACAGTATTTGCACAGCCAGAGGCACCTCTGTGACATCACAACATCCAGCTTTAACTCAATTTTTACTATGAAGTTTCATGCCACCCCAACCATTGCAAACTACTGGTAATCCATCCAGTTCCAAAAGTAAACTACTAGTTCATGGTCCTCGTCTCAACACACTGGATTCCTAAGAGCAAGGAGTGGCAGAGAAAGAAAAATGCAAATTATTTATTTGCTTAATCAGAAAAAAAGCCAGTGGAACCCTGTTCTGAACCCTGAAATCCAAAACATTTGAAAAACACCCTGTAGGAATGTATTGATGCTCTGACACTTATTTTAACAATTCTTCTCGGCTATGCTGGCAAACTGCTGCTCCAGGAATATTTTCACTTTTAGCCTGACATTCTGTGGGAGGACATGTTTCTCTTCAATTCTCAAATAACAGGCAGCCCCCCTATGGCATCCTTGAAGAATACATAGTTTAGAAGTGGAACTGCAACTTGAAGGCTGCCCCCTTTTTTTTTGAAAACAGATATCTCTTCTGACCCTTTATGAGCTGGACCAGGGAAATATTCCCCAATACATCCATGGGTTGGGGAACAGAGACATGACTTGTTAGTATCTGAAAACCTGTGCCCCAGACATCTACCCACCATCCTACCACTGATCACCTCACTCAGTAATCTCTGGAAGGAACTACCTCTCCAGGGAGTATATGAAGTGGCCTCTTCCCTTTAACTAGCCCCTTCCCACAGGTCCAAAAGGATCTGGGGTGCCCCAAAAACTTGCACAATGATAATTCACTATGGCTTGGGTCCATCCAGTGAGACTTTGAAGAAAGAATCAGAATGTTTTTTTCCTGTAAGGGGAGTATGACATAAACAACCATTTGTTACATTGCCCGCCTTACAGATGTAGTACCTATGTTTCTGAGATTTTCAAGATTACTTACACAGGCAGACACTGACCTGTCTTCTTCCAAAAGGTAAAATGCTAAGGGATCTGGTAGGCTTCCTAGTGAGACAGGCTACAGCTGCTGAAAAGTAAAGGAAACACTTGTAGTACTATTAGAACTGGAGTGCCATGGTAGTGAGATAAGGGGTCATCAAGACAAGATGGAAAGCAACTACACAACCCAGAAGAATTGAAGCAGGCAAGACATCACTACTGCAAGTGAGACTGTTGACATCATCAAGGATGGTGTCCAACAGGATAGAGACAATGAAATATCTACCCCAACGTAAGTAGAAGTGCTTTAAACATAAGACATTTTAAACTATTATTATTATCCTTTCAGTACTTATGCAAGGCTTATCATTAGTCTATTTGAGGAATCTAGACTCTAGATATGAGAACCCCAGATTTTTTAGTGTTTTTCTTGTTTGGATATAGTTATAATGCAAAAATATTACATTTTTCTAACTAGATTGTACCACTACAGTGCAATTTTGTAGACCCAGATGCCTTAAAATTAAACAACTCTATGGACAATGTTTTTTGTTATTTTTATAGAGTGTTTTGTTTTCAAGAAAATATGCTATTACCTACACTTTAAAATGACTAGATTTATGCTAAATAGGAGTGAACCAAATTATTGCAGGTGGAATCTTAGAAAGACAGAGAAATAAAGGATTATAATTATAGTTGTAATTATATATAATGATATGCAGGCTATTCCCTTAATACTCAGATCCTTCATTGTGTAAATGGGGCACAGCACACCTTTGTCTCCTCTGGGACATGAAATTTCAGTAAATGAAACCTTTGAGAAATGCTTGCAGATATTTAGGTAAATACTAGACCATTTATTTTGGCATTGTGGCCATCACACGCTTTTTTATTCCCCTTACCAAAATGAAGCACCGTAGCACAGTCTCCTTGAGCACATGACATAACAGAAAGGATAATTTGTCTAGTCCCAAAGGTGACTTTTCAAACGCTATTTAAAAAATCTGCTGTAGGGATAAGGAGACATAATGAGGCAGGGAAGCCAAATGAAGCTCAGCCCACACACTACAGCATATTTGATTTAGAAAGTGAAAGTTCACCTTTCCTGTCAGGAGTTCTGCTCTCATGAAAAGAATGTGCTGAGTTTCGTCCATTTCCCCTGTTTGAATGCAAGAAAGTTCTGTTTCTTTGCAATAAAACAACAGTTTCCTTTGGGGGTGGTGACTTAAGGTTATTATTCATATTGCAAGAGCACCCAAAGGCTTCCACCAGGATTAGAACCCATTGAGCTGGATATTGTATAAACACACAGGGCAATAAAGTGTCCACACCAAAGAGCTTAACATTTGACGTGACATCTTGAAAAACTAAAATATTAGATAAATTACATGTTAGTTAATATGGGCTGTAATATATGATTTCTGTAGAGAGGCTAAAAGACTCCTCTGAATACATTTATTGCAGACCATCTCTCTCCATAAAGTAATCTAGGAGACTGACCTCTTGTGCCCCACATACCACAAAATCTGTGGAGATACTGGGACTCTCATAAGATGCAAATGTGTCCATGTGGGTGCTGGCGTTCATGTTTGTATGGCAGCACAGCTCACTCAGGAAGACAAGGTGCTAGTTAATCCATAATGACAGGTACATTTGAAAAAAACCTATTCTGTTTCAGCCACGAGGGAATAAGTGCTGGTGGAGACAGGAACTGCCAGGAAATTTTATAATTAGATTTGTGCCTAGCCCTAATGCATTTTGTCCAGAGTACCTGCTTCCCAACATTGAATCACTGTGCCCAGTCCCATAAGTGCATATGCTAGTAGTGTAGGTTGTAGCCGTGTTGGTCTAAGGACATAGGCAGACAAGGTTCCTTGGGTGAATCTGATATCTTTTATTAGACCAACTTAAATAGTTGGAAAGAAAATTCTTTTCATTTTTATTTTCAATTTTCTTTTTTCTTTGCACTTTTCATTCCATCCAGGAAGAGCACACACCAACAGCTGAAACGTCCTCAGCCTGATGAAGGATTTTTGAACCCAAAAGCTTGCTTCAATTTTTTTTCCCAACTATTTAAGTTAGTCTAATAAAAGATATCAGATTCACCCAAAGAACCTTGTCTGTCTCTGCTAGTCTTTTGAATTGGTCCTCTGTAGTGTAGTGGGCAGATATGTAGCTCAGCCTGCTGTTACCGTTTGTAGGTCTGGGGTATTGTGACACAGCCAAGTCTATGTTTAGAAGATGACAGAGTGAAACAAAATGGGGGTAGAAATCACACTTGTCAGTTTCCAGTCTTTTGTTACATTTTCTTCCTGTATCTTAACAGTCTGCAAACTCTAGCAAAGCAATATGAAACACAAGTAAACCCCAAAAGAAGCATGGCAGGCTTATGTGTTCCCAGATCTTATACCTGGCTCTATACTACATCTCTTCTCCCAAGAGCAGTCCTGCATTATTCAAAGAGTTTGAACATCTTCCCCAATCATCCCAACCTAGAGCAGTTCTCCTTTGTGGGATTCCAAATGATCTTCTGGGTTATATAGGAAAAAGTCTAAAATGCAGGTAATGGGACCCCTCACAAGAACACCATGCATGCAGTCAGCTCACTGAATCCAATTTTGTGCACAAACTTGGTGGAAGTTTATTTAAAAATGCTTGAACATAAAAGAGCTTGAAGATAACTATGTAAATCTTAGGAGTAACTGTAGTACTATGGCATCAGCAACTGAGGCCTTGGCTGCAGCATGACACAATCTAAAATGATTCAGGGGGGATGGGGGGAGATAACGCCAACTAAAGAGAAGAGCAGCCTCATCCTAAAAATTAATTAGGCAAAAATGTTCTGCTTTTCTTGCTCTTTAACTCCTACATCAGCCACCCACAGGACTCACTTATTATGGCACAATTTAGTCACACAGTGACTATTGGCCTTCATGTACAATGCCTAGGGAGATCATCAAAGAGAGACGCATTTTATCTTCTCACCTCCTCTACCAGCATTTTGTCTCTCAGGATTTTCCACTTCTTCACACAACATTTGAGTCCATAAGGTCTTTCCATGTTTTTATGGTAAGTCTTATGGTCAGCTACAAGAACTAGAGGTCATCTTAGGTTTTACTCTGTCCCTGTCAAGATGTAAAAAATGAAATAACCCCTGCTATTTTATACAGTGTAGAGCTGCTGAAAACAGTAAATGATGAAAACAGTAAATTCTACCAGTAAATGCAGAAAGCTGGTTTGTGGAAAAACCTGAGCTAATTTAAGCTCAACATTCTCTAAGGATGGGGGGAAAAAATGACACTGTTTTCTCGTCCCATGGAGAGCAAGATAGGGAAGGTATCTAGTTGTTGGTGTCATATCTTGCCTACTAGGCAGTCAAGAGAGGGCGGAACACCGATTAGTACTCTCAGCTCCTGGGAATAAATGATCATAAAGACAACAACTTTTTCACCACTGTATACCACTGAACTATTTTCCAGGTACCTGATTCAGTCTCCATGGAGGTCCATGAGAATATTTCCATTACTAAAATAACAGGAACATTGTACTAGAGAGACTTTTGGGATCAACAAAGCCAGCTTACTTATTACACACAACTACACCATGCATTTATAGAGAACAATCATATTTCCTTTCAGCTTTCCTTTCATTAGGCTCAACCAGCCAAGTTGTTGTAGTTTCCTGACACAAAATAGGCCCTTCCACTCATGACTTATAATGCCCATTAATTTCAATTGGATTTGGATCAGGGATAGGTGCAACACACCGGAGATGGTACTGTACTGAAGGAGAAAGGTTGCCCTGGCACAAAACACTGTCATCGATCACATAGTTAATCCGATGGCCCAAAGGGCAGTCTATCTAATACATATATTGACAAATTTAAGCTGTAGTGCTCTTTGATGCATGGGCTGTGTGTTTCCAGGTCTTTGTACAAGTCAAATAACACTATTATCTACAGTAATAATATATGGGATGCAACCTTGGTCAGTAAATATAGGAAATGCTGAACTTCTTTAACTCTTTTAACTTTTATCAAAGTCAATAGGAACTGAGGACATCCTACATCTTCCAGAACTTCTTAATATCCGCCTCCTGATTGCACATAGCATATGTCATGTTGCAATGCCTGGGCTAAGATTCCACATTAAAAAAATAGCAAAGGACAAGACAACCACAGAGTAAGATATATTTCTGGAGATTCCCCTAAACTCCCTAAAGTGCTTTCCAGAAAGTCTCATAATTTATTTGCTATATTTTATCTGAATTTCTAGCCTTCTAACAGGAGAAATGTTAAGGATAATTGA